TATACCACCTATAAAATTAAAAGACTTATTTTTTTCTTTTATTTTTACGTGTGTGCATGCTGCAGCTTTGTACCCTGTAAATGGAAGCGCTCTCTTGCTAGTTTATATACTAAATTGTTGCAACAATAATTTATGTATTTTAGTTATTAATGACAAAATTATATTATTTTATTACTATAATTATTGATCATGTATTGGGCTGAACTGAACCTCTTAAGTGTTTTTTTATTGATCATGTATTCATGTCGAATTATTGATCATGCCCCATAAGTTGGGCTTTGGCCACGTAAGACAAAAGTGTCATTAATAATTATAGTGTAGTTGATCGTCCTAATGATGGGTCTCTAGCTAGTCAATGGATCCGGTCCAGGCACGGCAAGTTCTTATGGTGGGGGTTTTATGTAACTTAGGCTTATTGCCTGCAGGTAATTGGTTTTGGGTATTACCGGGGCCATCGTAGATTTGGTACTCAGGATAAATCTTAAAGCTTTGATCAAATGAAACTAATTTCTGTCAAATTCTTTAATACAATTTTCTGTGTCTTTCTTATTTCCAATCCAATCAAAAACAGTCTAAGGGACCGTATTTCACGTTCCAATAATACTTAATAGTCTTTTACTCACCATAAAATCATTGAATCATCGTAATTGATATGCTAATATAAACATTAAATTTGGTTAAGGTTTCTAGTATTCACGGAATTGCTTGCAAAACAATCTTTTCATTCTTAACCCAACCACTTTCTAAGTTCAGTTCAAATCAAACTGTCAATTTCAATTTAATTTGATTCAATTTAGTGGGTTAAGCCTTTAAGGGGAAAAGTACTTGTACTCCGTAGCTCACCGCAGAATTTTAAATTATAGCTCCCATAATCTATTAGTAGCCTCCCCCCTAAACCACATCCTGCCCATGGAATTGACATCAATTCACGATCAGGATTTATTCATTTGATGTAATTGAATGTTGTAGGATTCTACTTCTACCCAAAAGACGAGAGGGTTGGGTGAATCGAGGATTTACATTGAAAATGATACTGTTCATTAAAGCGACCGTGTGCTTCTTGGCACACGAACGAAGAATATAAAGCCTCAAAACACGAGAAGGGTGGGCACCCGATTATTTTGGCCTGTGAATTCCTATGTCAAATCAAATCAAGTCAAGTCAACGAAAGTCTCTTTCTCTCTTTCTACGTGTGGGGATCGCTATAAATAATATGTATACAACGGGGCCTCCAGTTCAATTACGAGTGGACTTTTATTGACTTTTCTGTGATTTAATAGATATATTTTTTAATTATCAAAAACAAAATTACGAGTGGACCTGTTTATGAAGTGGGTTTTGGGTTTGGCATTGGGATTTGGGGCAAGCCCATTAGAATTTTAGCCAAATTTTAAAAACAATCTTTTAAAAAATAATTACATTATTCAAGTTTTAAAAGTATTTAATTGAGAGTACCACAAGAGTACTCCTGCTATTTCAATTTTATTTGGTGAAATAAAGACATTCAAGTTTTAAATTAAAAGTATTTAATTTATGATTTTGGATGCATGGTTGACATAAATTGAGTTATCATTTGAGGCCATTTTCGTGGTGTAGATCGTTGGCACATCACTTTAATGAATTTGATCCAACCACCGACATAAATTGATTTCTTCCTTTTCWTTTTGCTTTTGCTTTCAAAGCTAGCAGAAAAATAATATATAAGGACAACTAGGTCACTTCATGTTCACCAATTAACACGGCTAGGGGCTTTGATAATTATAGAGGGCGAAATGTGGAAGAAATTGATTAGGGGATTAAGTGTCACCCCGGCCCTAAGGTAACAGACTAACAGTTGGAGTGTCTCAGTAATTACCCAGAGTTCTAAAATATCGTATATATATACCGTTACGAGCAAATCGCTGTTCTTCATCTACCTAAAATCAGATACACAAAATCAGGTCTGCACAATTGCAAAGGGAGAGAGATGGATTGGAAGATTGTCGTCGTGTCAATAATCCTACTTCTGAATGCGGCATCAACTTCTTCTCAGAGTTTGGCGAAGCCTGGTTGCCAAGAAAAATGTGGGGATGTGAACATCCCGTATCCCTTTGGAGTTGGAAATAATGATTCAGACTGTTTCAGAGACTCACATTTCCACTTAGTTTGTAACACTTCATATGGCCATCCAGTGCTTCTTGGTTCCCCTAGAGGAAATATACCCTTCCGGAATATATCGTTAGAAGGCCAAACCACCGTCCACATCCTGATTGCTATGGACTGTTACAATCAAAGTGGTAGAACCTATGACGGGTTCCAAGAAATAGATATCACACTGGCAAAGCAATTCAGCTTCTCGAGCACCCGAACCAAATTCACGGCGATCGGTTGCGACACCAAGGCCTACATGTCGAGTTCATTGTTATCAGGTGATTCTTTTGCGAGCGGTTGCATCTCATTTTGTACAAGCGACGAAACTCTGATTAATGGCTCCTGTTCCGGCATTGGATGCTGCCAGACTTCCATTCCAAATGGTCTTCATACCTTTAACGTCAGCCTCTCCAGCTTTTACAACCACACCGACTCGTTGGGCTTCAATCCCTGCAGCTATGCCTTCCTGGCTGACCAAGATTGGTTTAATTTCTCTTCATCCGACGTCAGAGATCTCCGCAGTAGACTTCCAGTCCGTTATGACGGAGCTACTGTAACTCCAGTGGTGCTGGACTGGGTAATCCCCGACGACAACTGCACCTATGCAATAAAGAATCGGACGAGCTACGCATGTGGAGAGAACACCTATTGCTCCGATTCCTCCAACCCCACCGGCGGCTATAATTGTCACTGTAAGCAAGGTTACCGGGGGAACCCTTATCTACCCCAAGGATGCCAAGGTGATGATGGCGACCTCTCTTAATAATTTTTTGTTTTCA